CATCATCATCCTCATCATCATCATCATCATCATCATCATCATCATCATCATCATCATCATCATCATCATCATCATCCTTATTGTTCGTCCTCTCTACCTCAGGTCCTCTCCTCCCCTCCAGCCTTGTAGTCGTCGTTTCTCCTGGATTTGAGATCTGGCGCTCCGGACTTCCTCCTGTATCCCTCTCCTCCTCCTCCTCCTCCTCCTCCTCTTCCTTCTCCTCTCCTTTTCTTTTCTTAGCCTGGTCCGTGAAGGCATTCATCGAGGCCCCGCGGGAGCGGCTCTTGAGCGCTTGTTCAGGGCTCACCAAGAGCCCTCGATTACGCAAGGGGTCCAAGCACTGTTTTACTACGGTTTTGGCCCCATGTTGGCCTCTTGCGGGGGCAGCGCTAATTGAGACCCCCCCTTCTTTGATCGATCTCCTCCGAGATGGCCCTGCGAGCGCTCCCAAGGGTACCCCAAGAGGGCCTCAAAAGGTGGCCAGGAGGCCCCAAGAGGCCTCCAAGAGGCCCCCAGGATGCCCGCAAGAGGCCCCCAAGAGACCCCCAAGAGGCCCCAAGAGCCCCCCCAGAGGCACCCAAGACGCTCCAAGCGGCCTCAGCGACATTGACAACATCATTGACTTGACTGAGGTTTTGGCCACATGTTGGCCTCCTGGGGGGAGGGCACTGCTTAAGATGACTCCAAGAGCGCCTGGGAGAGCCCAAGATGACCTCCAAGATGGCTCAAGATGCCCCAATATGCCTCAAAATGGCTCCCACGATGCTCCAAGGGGCCCCAAGACCGCTCCAAGACGGCTCCAAGTGGCCAAAGAGCTCCCCCAGGAGGCCCCGAAGAGGCCCAAATCCTTCCAAAACCTGAGGGAAATGAATGTGTTTGGCTTTCTCGCCTTTTCGCTTCCGATGGCCACCCGAGGCTTCAAGATGGCTCCAAGATGGCCCAAAAGCGCTCCCAAGGCTCCCAAGAGCGCTTCAAGAGTGCCCCAAGAGGCGCCCAGGAGGCCCAAGGGAGCCCCAACAGGCGCCCAAGAGGCCCCCAAGACGCTCCAAGATACCCCCAAAAGCTTACAAGAAGTTCGGCACCCAAGACGCTCGAAGAGGCGTCCAGGACCGCCAGGAGGCCCCCAAGACGCTCCAAGAGACCTCCACTGGGGGACCCTTCCTCTGGGTGCTGTCCACTTCCCTGATCGAGGGAATTTCTCCGGGCATCGTTTCTGGATGGATTGGTGGGGTTACTTTTTTGGTCGGCGGCCGCGCGACTACGGTCTGGCGGCAACATGCGTGTCCGGGACGGCGGTACAGGCTAATTGCACACTTGCACAACAAGCGTGCAGTTGCACACGCACTGAACAAAATGCTCTGCATTCGAAGGAAAACCAATCACTAAAGGCGTGGCAGGCTGAACCACACGGCGCCCAGACCTCAGCAATCCACTTCCAAATGCCAGGTGGAGCCATGCGGCTGTGCCAAAGGGGCAACTGCGATGCCGATCCCTAAAGCGAAGAGATCCGCAAGCGTGGGGGGGCACCGCCGTCTAGTGGTGAAACGCCTGCGCAGCCTGCCAGGGGGGGTCCTGCTGCAGTGGAGGCAGTGGGGGCCAGAGGAGTGAGTCGCCTGTGGGGCGCCAAACTCCGAACGCCCGCGACGACGTCTGCAAGCCAAGCAGCTGTCGCGGAACTGGTGCGGCGCATTGGCCGGCAGCTGGTGGGAGCCTGGGCGCTGTCTTGCTGCGGAAGGCTGAACCACTCCGTGGCGACCCAACACCCGAGTGACCATTCCGCAGGGCAAGGGGGGAACGAGCGACTGTGGACACGCTGCGTGCCAGCACGGCGCCAGGCCTCAGAGAGTAGGGGAGAGTCCGCAGGCGGGGACGCACCGCCAGCGGAAGAGTGAGGGAAAGGGCGGCGCAGGTGGTAGTGCTGCCTCCTGCGGTGTCAAGCTGGCGGGGTTACTTTTTGATTCGCGGCCCGCAAGGAGAAGTCCAGAGGGCGGCATGACCGAGGCTGGGGCACAGCGACAGATAATTGGCGCGACACCGCGCAGAGTGCACCTGCAGATAAATTAAAAAGAGGCGGCCGCAATTGGGCAGCCAACGAGCACAGGTCACCCCGCAGGTGGGGCCGAACTGAAACCCTGCCGAAAGCACGCGGACCCAGGCAAAAGTCACTGAGCGTGTGCCAGCAGAAGAGGGCAACCGCGACTGAGCAGGTGGAAACCAGGGCGGACCCGCAGGTGGAGTACCGACCGGCAGCCTGAAACCGTAGGGGAAGCGTGGCGGATCCACTCACTTGACACCCAGTGCGTGAGCGCCAGCGTAAAAGCCAGCCGCGCACAAGCCACCGATGGGGGTCAGGCCAGTGAGCATACTTCACGAACTGGCAGGTGAAGCAAGAGGAAGGGCCTTCAGCCAGTGCCTCTGCATCACGGCCCGCACTCCTGAGCAAAGCCTGGGTGGGGTTATTTCAGCCGACCGCAAGCGAGAGCGCCCGCCGGGGCCGCGGGAACCATAGCGGCGCGGCGCCTCTGCTCCCAGGAGGCACAAACTGTGGCCAGAGCCACCAGCTAGCTGAGACGGAAAGGCGGTGCCTTCAGCCGGTCGACCCTGTCCGTCGCGGGCCGACAAAGCGGCCAAAACCGTGGGTGAGCATACGTCGGCCGACCGCGCGGGCTACACACCCATGTGTATGGGGGTCAAAAGTGGTGATCGCTCCAGAGGGCGACGACGTGGAAGCCACTGCGCATTGCTGGACTTCAAAGGATGGGGCACTTGGAAGGGGCCGCGGCCAGCGTCCGCAGTGTCCTGGCCCGCACACGGCACGGGCAAAGTGACTGGGTGAAGCGTGTCGAGAAGCGGTGGGGAACGCCTTCAGCGAGTCGACCCGGTGCTCCACGGGCCGACAACGCGGCCAAAACCGGCGGTGGGATTATTTCAGCCGGCCGTGCGGGCTAAAGGCCCACGAGGTACGCGGGTGTCTATCGCGGTGGTGGGGGGTGCACCTCGACCCCAGGAGGTAACGCCAGACTGACCCCGCGGCCCGCCGCTGCGGTGAAGCCCCCTGCCACTGGCTGTGCCGACAGGTGTGGCCGCTTAGTGGGAACCTAGCAGCCGTGGGGCCCGCCGCTTC